TTTTTCTTTCTTTACATTCTCTCTCTCTACACACACAGAGAAAATCAAGAGGAGATTAGTGGAGATATCATAATGGTAAAATTAAACTTTGGGTTGTCTTTCTTAAGAGGAAGCTTTACATTTAAGTTTTAACTCTGGGACAAAGGAAATGAAAAGATCACAATTTTCAATTCGTATGCTGAGACAGACAGTTAGAAGAAGAGAAGAGTGGTATCAAAAAAAGCTCTAGAGGAAATATCCCCAAACTACCAAACTGTCCTTTACTATATTCACAGATTTACGCAGATGTGTAAAGAGACTCACTAACTCTTTATTAACGATAAAGATAAATAATTTACATATTACATTTAGTGTGCTCAAAATATAAAACAGTGGCTTCAGAGCTGAAGGGTTGTTTGATATTAAGCAATAATTAAAAGTTAGTAAAATATAAATAAAATTCCATTCAGGCAACATATATAGGTTTCGGAAGGAGTAGTGTTATGCATTACTCCATGATTAACCCAAATCTTTTAATATCCATTAAAATTTACAAAACAGAGCCAAGCATATTTGGTCTATAATTGCTTCTCCCTGCTATCTTATTACAGCATATTGCACTTATCTTAAATTCCTGATTTATGGTAGAACTTAAGGATATTCCCACCGGGATCCTCAAAACTCTTAATTTGTTTACATATTTTGGCTTTCTTCCAGGTTTATGTGAACAGTAACTGATCCAAGAAACAAACAGGCGGAAATGTCTTTGAATAGCATTCTTTTACTATCAGGTCATACATATCTCCATTCAGTAAAACAGGCAACTGAATTCCTGAACTGGGCAGTTCAATAAGACATTTTTAAAACTCAGGTGGGATTAAAGAGAATGATTTTCTATTCAAACAAGAAAAGAAAAAGGAACTACGAACTTAACAGGGTCTTAAAAACACACACAGGATGGAAAAGAAATTTCTCCAAACTATTTAAAAAAATTAGTAACATAGATTTTATCGTCTATTTCCTCCACCTCAAAGGGATGTTTTGTTATCCACTTAGACTGAAGAGCTTGCTTTCAACCAAATTAAGGGCTCAGATGTAAAGAATAAGAAAGAAAAAAGAAAAGAAAAGAAAAACTTGACATACCAACAAACCAACCAATTTCAATAGCCCATTTTATAATGAGATAGAACAAAGAACAAAATGGATAGATCCAAAATGGCAAAACTCCAGAAACCTCATTCAGTTAATCTATTAGATGCTTTGCCAAACCTTATCCAAATAACCCAATTATTACAGTCTACAGACTAGTGGAAATTCTTACAAAATTGGCCTCCCTGTGGAATGTCAAATCACGTCTCCACTTGGGTCAAAAAGATCACTAGGATTGCCTTGTCCAAGCTTTTGCCTCTGGGCTTAACTGCAATTTTGAAAAATGGAAAATGAGGGAATGCATCCAGGTAAAATTCTGGATGTAGATTTAAATCACGTTTTTTTAAACCTTAGGTAAAGAACAGTCCTTCCTATTTGTAATCCAATTCCCTAAGAAACTGTTCAAAGTAGAGTCAAAAATTCTGGATTTCCAAATTCAGTTTGGCTTCCAGTGTGCTAGGTGATCATAAACCCTTAATCTCTGCATCTACCTTTTTACAATGATCATATCACAAGGTTGACACAGACCTACCACACAGAGATCCTGCAAGGATTAATTAAGGTTAAACACAGAAAAAAATTGCATTTGACAAGGCAGGCTTCAGCCATGCTGCTAAATAGACCCAGATGTTTTAACAACTCTTCAGATTATTTGGTAGCATCCTCACTAAGTAGAGAATAAATTTTCATAACACATTTCAAATGTGAAGGCATTTTTTAAAAATCAAAGATTCCAATATTTCAGAAGGGGAAAAGAAAAACAGTCTGGCTCCATTCAGGTTGAGCTCATCATACTGGGCACCATTCACCCCAAAATTTTCCCATTGAATAAACATTGTGAACATAGGTGTTTAGGAGAGTCTCATAGCAAGGAAAGACTTCATACTTCCTCATGCCTGGGCATTTTTCTAGACTTTCCCTTCTCTTGTAAAGATGGTGAATGGATTTTGACTTCTCTTTTCATGTCTTGTTGTGTTGCAGAGGCAAAAATGGCTATAGGCAACTCTGGTTCATCAAGATAGTATTTGCTTCTACTTTTCCATCTTAAACTTTAGTTATCCAATTATGTCTGATCATTCCTTGCTGGAGGAAATCCCAATAACTTTAGAGTTCAGTGATGGCACTGATAATACTTGTGAGCATCAGCCTGTGTAGTTTTACTGGCACATGCAGATCCAAGAATGTTCCAAAACATGTTTATGTGTCGAGGATAGTGATGCGCAAAGGAAAGAAGGAGTAGAGAAAGACTGAAAGGTACTGGGCTTTACCCATTTTCTTTCTCTTGTTATTAAAGAAAACAAATTTGAGATCCCCATCTTTGACAGACATTCTTTAAGGGATCTTAAAATAGCATATTTTGTAATATTGTATAGCATCATGCTTAGAAATATAAGTTCTAAAGTTAGACAACCAAATTTGAATCTCATTTCTCTCACTTGCTGCTTGGGTGATTCTGAATAAGTTATTCAAAATGTACATGCCTTGGTTTCCTCCTCTTTTAAAGGGAGATCGATATATCACCTAGCACATATAGTTATTATGAAGAATAAAAACATCATGTAAAGCACCAAGAAGAGTTTCTGGAACATAGTAATCATTTAATAAATGTTAGCTATTTTTAGTATATTACTTTAAATGCTCATATTTTAACTCAATATCATTTCAGGCCCAAGAAAGTTTAACCTCTTTTCTAAAACATTCAGGTCTATTCTTCTCTGTTAGTAATGATTGAATAGGGCCAAGGAGGCATTGTCAGAACCATTTAGTACTTTGGGATCATTGCTCTGACTAACATTTCTCCTCACAAGCATTCTGCTTTAACAAAATGTGTGTCTCCAGATACATCCTGGACTTGTGAGGGCAAGTGTACTTTACACTGCCATAGATCTCTTCTTGGTTACCAGTTGATGTGCAATGAAAAGATTCAAAACTCAATACTAATTAAAAAGAATGAGCATCGATTTAGCTCACCTGTTTGCTGGAGATCAATGAACTAGGCTAGGTGGCCCTGCTGATCTCAGCTGGGCTTGTTCACCCATTTGTGGATTAGCTGGAGGTGAGCTGATTTGGGCTCTTGTTTTCCTTCTGGAGGCAGCAGAACAGGCTGGGCATGTTCATCTCATGGTGGTGGCAGAAATGGAAGAGAGCAAGCAGTAATATGCAGGGTCAATGAAGTCTAGTCTCAGTGGTGCACTGCCACTTCTGACCCACTCTATTGGTTAAAGCAGGTCACATGATGAATCCCAAAGTCAAGAGGTGAACATATATTCCTCCCAAGGAAGCGAAGTGGAGGGAAAGAATATTTCTGAACAATAATTCAACCCACCACACCCGTGAAGACACTGTTAAGTGATCACAATGTTCTTTTCCACTGTGCCTGAGTATAGCCTTTATGTACTTAGCAGCCACAATAATTGCTAGGAAACCTGCTAAATATGAGGGAAAGAAGAAAAAATGTACTTGAGACTTCTAGTTTTGCAAATTTTTAATATATTTTACAGAATAATATATCTGGATCTCAAGTGCTATCTTTCTATAATGTAAAACATCACTGTTATATTTTGAGAATATTATAGTTATTCAATTTAGACTGAGTTAGTTTGAAAAAAAATGTCCATCTATACTAAATATGAATGAAAACTGCCATTAGATTTTAAAATAGCAATTTAGTTATCAATTACTTATATTTTCTTTTGTAAAGGGAATATATTTTGAGTCTTTAATAACAGTTTCTTTTCATTTATAAAATATCCCCCAAAATATATTTATACATTTTCACAATTTGGAAACTAAAAATGTACAAGAACATGGATAAAGGTCACAATGCCAAACACCACTTACACAGCCACTTCCAGTCCACTTACTTTAAACCATATTAATAATTAAACAATAGGTATTTTTCATTTATTCTGCTTATTTTTGAATTAAACTTTTAAAATAACTTCAATCTTTCTTTTTCCAAATGGCTTTCTTAACATTTTAATTTAAATATTATGATTTATGCTTCCTTGACATAGTTTCAACATTAAAAGGAAGTTAAATTCACAGATTTAATATAAGAAATTGTTCTATGGCAACTTTATTTTTATAAAATGAATATTGTATTTTTATATATGAAGTAATATTTGATAGTTATGATAAACTGGCATGGGAAGAGTTTTCCTGTTAAACCAATGCAAAATGCTTCCAGTGACCACAGTAAGAACGGCTCTGGGTGGAATATAGAGGTCTGACTCTTATCTCTAGATGAATATGTTTACAAGTCATCTCTTAAATTGAGCACTTTTATGAAAAAAAAATACTACCTCTTACCGATATAAGTCACTAATCAAACCATTGGTCACACTGTGTTAAATTCCTAAAAAGGCTAACTTTAAATTACATTTAATTAAATAGCACACATTTAGAAAGAAAAGTCTTTCCACAAAATTTTCCACAGGTACAAAGCAATTTCAGCAACTCTGAGGCAAAACCGCTATTATTTTTTAAGAGATTTTGGAAAATAAAGTGAAAATAGACAGTTCCCATCATGGTAATTCAGTTTACAGAAGTGGTGATGAAAATGTAACTATAAACTTGCCTCTGAATCTCTTCTTAACAAATAGCAAAAACAATTTATCTTTCTCTCTTGGCCAATAATTCTCTCCATTCCCCTCACCCCTAGCTACAATTTCTGTATGTTGGAAAGATGATGGGAAAGCTAAAAACTTCAAGGACTTCCTGGTCAGTTGACTGAGCTGTGCCTCATTGTCTGTTCCCCCAGTGTCATTTGGAGCCTCTGGCTCATTTCCCACAGCCTCTCTGCTGGATGTCCTTTGCCAGCAAGCATTGTTATACAGGAAGATGAGCTTAAAACTTATTATCAGTTGTCCTGAGTTTAAGCCCTGCCTTTTTTTACTAGGCAGCCACATGGCTTTGGGTGGCAAGGTAGTTAAGGTCCCTGAGCCTCAATTCCCATCTAAATAGTGAAGGATGTGGGGAAATTTCTTTAAATTATTTTCAATGCTGTGAATCACTTTGTAGACCATAAAGAAAAAAATCAAATGCTATTATGATGATGATCATTTCACAATTTAATATTTTATTAACTAAACCTTATTACACTAAATGCTTCTAACTGCCTAGGGTAAAGTCATACTAACTGCTCCAAGATAAATTCTTGTCTTGTGTAACATTCCCTTATTAAGTTGAAATCTACGGTAACTCAGCCAGCACTCAATAGATAGTGATTTTGCTGTGTCATAGATATGCCCAGTTTCCTACCGTGTACTTAAAGGCACTTATCTTCTCTTTAAAACCTTGATAACATTTCCCCTTTTACCTTTATGAGCACTTCAAATTCTTAAAACGTTTTCACCTGAAGAGTTCAACGGGGCACTGTGTGGATCTTTCACAACACAGCCAACTTGCCTTAACAATGACATAAACGTTCTAACCAAAAACTACACATTGTCCATATATTTTCATCCTCAAGATTTTGAATTAAACGATTTATTTTATATTCTTAACATCCCTAGAGAGAGAAAAAAAGTAGCAAGCCCAGGAATTTAGATCCAAGCCTACAATCAAACAACATTTCATTCAAGAGAATGAATTGCAATAATTACTCCATGTCCATGATATTCTACTCACTATTACCTAAATGTAAAATATAAACTCTTCTACTAATATAAATACTTGAGAAATATAGGGAAAGTCATCTAGCACATTAAGAAGAAATTGCACAAGGTAGATATTTCATAGTCTACCTTTATCTGAAAATATTTCATGCAACTTTTATAGTTTCCACATGCAGCCTAAGCCCTGGAATAATCTGATCAAATGTGTTTTTATAAGTCAATGTATATATAGAATAAAAGGCATCTCTAATGACTGGATGTACATACTTGTAAAATGTAATATAATGGAAAATCATCAATATTTAAGATGCATACACCAGTGGAAATTTGAAAGAATAAGAACTTGATTTAAAAACACAGCAGTATCTGTATCAAAAGAATAATTTACTTAATTCTTGAAAGTGCAATGACCCCCGCCTTGTAGAATAAGATGTGAGATTGACCAAAATAAATTCACTTCTATGAAGCTTTCCAGTCTTTTAAATTTATTCAGGAAAATCAGAGACCTTTTAAAATAAGTCAAAATTTTATATTTCATCAACCAAGGAAAACATACAATTTTAAAACAGTAAAAAGAAGGAGGAAATGACATCTCCTTTAGGGATCTAGAGCAATGTGAGGCCAACGGTGATGACATTTGCACCAGGGTTCCCTGTTATCTCCTCTTTTTTTTTTTAAGGTGTGGAAAATTAGAACATATGTGAAAATATCACATCAAGAGAGGACAATTTTAGAATTAAGATTAATTCTGAATTTTCTCTATTTGTATCATTATAGTGTGATTTATTTACTAATTAATGCAGAGAGAATCGTTGAAGTTTTCTAAATTCTCATTCCTTGGAGGATTAGCTCACCCATTATCATTTCTATTTGATCTTTCACGCCTTTGTGAAAAGATATGTGAAGGCTACTGTTTTCCACTTATCTATTCTGATTCAGGCAATTTATATTTGACATGCACAAAAGTAAATTTTTATTTCACAGATATAAACATTGATCCACTTTTATAACCCAAGCATCATATCCTATAAATTATAACACATAAAAAACAACTTAAACAGTCGAGCACATACAATAGGGAGGGAAGCACAAAAGAGATACATAGGTAAATGTTTCTAAAAACCCAGGAGGTAATTTTCTCCATGTTCTTCATGCTACCATTAGCTGACCAACAAGTCCAAAACTTCTTTCTTTGATTAAGGTGGCAATAATAGTGGCACCTTGCCTTAAACTTTCCTGTAGCTTCTGCTCATCCTGAAAAGGAAAGATAAAGCAACAATTATTTTAGAAAGATGTCACACATTAAATTTAATAAGAAGTTACTTTTATTTTTTTTAAATTTCTTTATTTTTAACTTTTTCCCCCCAGTTTTATAGAGATATAATTGACATATAACATTGTGTAAGTTTAAGGTGTACAATGCAATGATATGATATACATGTATACTGTGAAATGATTACTACAATAAGGTAAGTTATCACATCCATCACCTCATATAATTACAATTGTGGGAACGGGGGTTAGTGAGAACATTTAAGATCTCCTCATTTAGCAACTTTCAAGTATGCAATACAATAATGTTAACTATAATCATGATGCTGTACATTAAATTCCCAGAACTTATTCACCATACAACTGGAAGTTGGTACCTTTTGACCACCATCTCCCCATTTCCTCCACCCCTCAGACCCCAGCAACCACCATCCTACTCTGTTTCTATGAGTTCAAGGAGCCACTTTTCAAGGCCCGCTGCTCTCTGGCCTCAGCATTCTATAGAACTCAGACCATAGCCACTGGCATGGACTTGGTCCCCCAAATAAAGAAGGAATGCTTTTGCAAGCACTTTTCATTATAGACAAAAAATATTTGCTGAAGATACCAAGAAAAACACTGACAATTTCAAACGTTAACAACATAAAATAAAAGATTATTCTCCCCTAATCCACTACCTGACCAACTTTGGCTCTTCACTAAAGTGTGAATATTTCATTGATGATGCAAGTCTTTTCGTCATCTTGTTTCTGAATGTTCTCCAACAACAGACTTTGTTATAAACTGTGAGTACTGGTGTGGGAAAGAAAAAAACTGCTTGCTGTTTGTGAAGTGAGGATCAGGCGAATTGGTGAAATGAGTTATCTCACAAGTTGCTAAAATGTAGTTTTGCGTTTGAAATCATATTGCCTATGAAAATATGTTTATTCTAATTATTTGGGCTTCTTGAAGGCATGAGGGGATGGTACTGGGAAGAGAAAAAGAAAGTGGAAATAGAGCTAATATCTTTAAGGTCTCTGTGTTATGAATTGTGCTGTGTTCAAAAACAGGGATCTGATAAGCAGTCTCTAAAGTCTGGCATCATCCTTACTGTCTTATCCCAACATTCAATATATCACTAGGACTTATTGCTTCTACATCCTTATTATCCTATTTCCTATTTCCTTATATCCTTATCCATATCCTTATCCTATTTCCTGAATCCATATGCTCCACTCAAACTGCCATTGCCAGCATAACACCCCTGTCCTGAATTACTTGAACAATACATAAACAGTCTCTCTGAAGTCTTGTCCTGTTCTACCCTATTTCCCACACAGCAGTTAAAATATTTATTTTAAAATATAGACCTGATCATTTCACTATCCTGCCTAAAATCCTTTCAAGACTACCTTTAACCTTCAGGATCAAGTCTGAACCCTTTACCTGGTAATGAAAAGAGTCTTTTATCCTTCCAGCCTCTTCTTGCCATTCCCTTAAAATCACTCAATTCTCTAGGCCACATGAAACTATTTAAGATTGTACAAACAAGCCATTTTTCTAAGCTTTCATCCCCTTGCGCCAGCTAATCCCTTTGCCAGAAAAGCTTTCCCACTCCCTTCCTAGCTTAGCTAATCCTAGTTACTCTTTGTGGTTCAACCCAGACATCTGCGACTCTTGAAATCTACTCTTGACTCCTATCCTCCAGTCCAGTTTGGGTGAGGTGAATCTATGTTTCCACAGCTGTGAATTCCTCTAGCACACTGAATTCTAATAGTCTTTTCAGTTGACCGTCTATTCCACCAGATGATGTTTCTTGATGTACAGAATTTTTCATTTTATCTTTGAATATGGAACACTTATTTCAATGCCTAACACATGGTAGCACTCCATAAATTACAACACATTCAAAGCAAAGGAGACTCTGACTATGGTAGAGATATCATCACCTTTTCAGTTTAACTCATCTGTTAAAATGACCACTATTTGGTTACTTTGTTTACTTCTATTTGCATATTTAGACAGACTCCTGGCAATAGTCCCAAGAAGAAAATAATCAAGGCATTCCACTACCACCACACTTCCACTAGCTCAGGCCTTGGGTTTCTCTATGAGGATGGTGGTGAGAGACCGTCTGGGCTTAAGCTCCTTTTTTCCATCAGTTTCCCTGATTTTGTTCTAAGGGCTGGAGCTGAGGAAGATGCACAAGGATCTGAATGGTGGCCACCTGAATGGTGGCTACTTTGCTCACTGCAAGTGGGTTTTGATGATACTTCAATACTGGGTTTCAGATGCTGGACTGGTTTCCATAATATCGTAAGACTTAAATCACATATACAAATTATTCTAAAGAGAAATATGTTTGGGCTTAAATGTGATTCACTTATAAGGGAGTAGACATCATCCATGACACATCATTCATAAACAAAGAAATAGATCTTCTAAAGCTGAACACAATACAAACCAACAATAGATATTTGTCCCTCTTAACGATTAATTAATTACAATGTCGCAGGGTTTATAATACAAATCTACTCCCCAGTTTCATTTATGAAATTGAGACATACAACAGATGATGATAATTAAGGTTTCCCCCTCAAAAATAAACAGAAAAAGGCTCTTGGTAGAGCCTCTTTGAAACAAGTTAACACTTATAATGAAAGCAGCACAGTAACAAAGGAAGAAATGAAGGGGAAAATATCTGTTTAAGATCCTAATGCTAGAAAAATAACATTTCTATATCTTAGAATAAATCATCTATGCTCATTTTGATAGCTCCATAACTTACACATCTTTAGATAATCAGGAATTTAAGTAAGAATGTTCTTTTAAGGATTAGTTTACTTCTGCAATTTTTTATAGGCATCATTTGGAAAGATTAGAATTCAGTGAGAAGAACTTATATTATTCCACTGAATATTTGTTTTCCCTTTCTGCCTGAGCTCAATCAATTGATTTATCCCTGAAAAATATGGAAGTCTCAAAACTGATTAAACAAGACAGTGAGACATACATATACTCAGAAAACTTCTAGTATATACAAAGATCACATATTCAAACAATTTATTGATTCTAAACATCTCAAAATTCCTTAACTCTACAAAACTATTGATAATATGGGTAAAAAAAAAAGCAAACTCAAATAGATCTTTAAAAAGTATTTCTTGCTGCTAGTGGACATGCAAAATAGTGTTTTTAATCCTTGAGGAGGATGGGGAGGGAAGGGGCATTACAGGTGGTCATTTTATTATCATTCACACATATTTACATATATGTACATACATACATTCCTTTGTGTGTCCCAAATATGGTATAATAAAAATGTTTAATGTTAAAACTAAGTAAGCAAGGTCAACATGAACACTGAAAAATCATGTTGACAGTAAGCGCTCTTGACATGATGTGATGAAAATGGCATTTACTGTGGGCCGGCCCCATGGTGTAATGGTTAACTTAAGCAGACTCTGCTTCCGCAGTTCAGGTTTGCAGGTTCAGATCCTGGGTGTGGATTTACACCACTCATCAGCCATGCTGTGGCAGTGACCCATGTACAAAATAGAGGAAGACTGGCACAGATGTTAGCTCAGGGCCAATCTTACTCAAGCAAAAAAAGAGGAAGACTGGCAACAGATGTTAACTCAGGGCCAATCTTCCTCAAGTAAAAAAAGGAGAAAGAAAATGGCATTTACTGCTGTAGTCTACCTCTAGAAAACCCATTACCCTAGTCTCTAATCATGAGAAAAACATGAGACGAATTCCAATAGATGGAATCCTACAATACATCTGACCAGAACTCCTCAAAACTGTCAAGTTCATCAAAAACAAGGGAAGTGGGAGAAACTGTCACAACCAAGAGGAGCCTAAGGAGACATGACAACTAAAAGTAATACGGTGTCCTGGAACAAAAAATACATTAGGTAAAACTAAGGAAATCTGAATAAACAATGGACTTCAGTTGTTAATAATAGGGGAATCTGGATGCAGGGTATATAGGAACTCTGTACTATCTTCTCAATTTTTCTGTAAATCTAAAAATTAAAGTGTATTATTTTTTCAAGAAAGTAAGCATGTATTTAACTTAAACATATTTGTCTTGATTTTAAAAATGTTTCTGTGCCATAATTACAAAGCCTGAGTTACAAAGGTAATTTATTTGTGTGCACTAGCCCATTTGCATATTTCTTGATAACATACAATATTCCTGTATTAAATTATGCATTTCATAAGGGCACAGGCTCTAGAGTCAGGTTGCTGGCATTCATATACTGGCTTTGATAATTTTCAAGTAATCTTTGAGCAAATTATTGAAGTTTTATAGTTCTTAGTTTTTTCATCTAAAACTGGGGCAATAATATTATCTACCTTATAATTTTTTTGTAGGGACTGAATCAGATAAGACATGTAAATCACTGCTACCTAGTAAATATTCAATAATAATAGCTGTTAGATGGGCCAGCCCAGTGATGCAGCAGTTAAGTTCACACATTCCGCTTCTTGGTGGCCCGGGTTCACTGGTTCGGATCCCGGGTGCGGATGTGGCACCGCTTGGCAAAAAGCCACGCTGTGGTAGGCATCCCACGTATAAAGTAGAGGAAGATGGGCATGGATCTTAGCTCAGGGCCATTCTTCCTCAGCAAAAAGAGGAGGATTGGCAGTAGTTAGCTCAGAGCTAATCTTCCTCAAAATAAAAAATAGCTGTTAGAATTATTATTTTTAAAGAGTGTACTGACTTTAGCCATGACAAAGTAGCTGATATCACCAGCTCACAATACATAACATTAAATCTGGACAACTGTATGTAAAAATATTGTTTGCAGGCCTCAGATGGTAACCAAAGCACGTCTACAATCCTTGAAAGTAGAGCCCATTAACTAACATTCACTTCAGCTGACTTATTGAGAGAATTTTTTTCAAACTATAAAGAAGAGAAATAGAGCTCAAGTAGAGAATGACAGTCTCTCTGGGTAGAAAAGATACAGTTTACAATTTAGAGTTGTCAAGGC